TGGAGGAACAGTGACATCCTGTGGCCACCGAGGCAGCCGAACTCCTGCTGCTTTTCAAACAGCAAAATTGGGCAAAAATCTTTAAAAAACACCCCTGGTTGCTGTGGGTAAAGCTGCAGAAATACTGAGGGATTTATTCCCAATATTCTCAATCCTATAGGATTATGTTGTGGGGCAGCTGAGAAAGGAGAAAACCCCAAATGTATCCAAACCCAGCATAATGGGGTCTTTCATTTCTCTTTCTATAGGTATAAATAACTTTTTAAAGCACATAAGACAAAACCCCAAAAATCTTGGCTGTTTTTTCTTTTTGGAGTTTTGTTTGATTTCTTTTTTTTTTTTTTAAGAGAGAACAGACTAGAAATTAACTGAAGCAAAAAGAAAAAAACTCAAAGGCCAGTCACAAAACTTAGATTACAGCAGGATTAAAAGAAGTTACCAGAATTTGTTGTAAATAATGGGAGCATTAAGATTATTCTAATAGCATAGAGATTCTCGCTAAAACATATTTAATTATTATTTTCGTTATGAATAGTTGCCTCTAAGCAGACTTTCGAGGTACCACCATATTGTAGGAGTAAAAAAAGAGTATTTTAATAATATTAATCATTTGTATTGCCTGACACCTTACTTTGTTTTATGTTAATAACTTTGGTGTAAACACTGCATATTATACAAATTCATATTCACATTTCCTTGTGATTCATACCCATTTCCTTAATTTACTTAAATTACAAGGATTTTTTTCTCATTAATGAAGAAATCCTTGCAGTCATTTCCTGGAGCACCCCAGGTACCAGTGGAGGGCACAGTTCCAAACCAGCTTGGCTCAGGCCAAAACCCAGAGCAGAGGGACCTGCAGACCCCTCCTGTCACCTCCCCAGGGTCCCTGGCCCTGCAGGGCACCCCAAACCCCAGCAGAAACGTCAGGAATGTTGTGGGACTAAGCCCCTTTTTAACTTAGAAATGGGACAACCAAGAGGCATTTTAAAAACTCTTATTCTGTTTTTAGTCTGTTTCAAGGGTGAGACAATAGAGGTGTTACATGCTACACAAACCTTCTATCAAATTTAAACAATTTTCTACAAATCTATTTCCCACAGAATGTCAGTTTATTTAGTGCCCACCCCAAATCGCAGCAGGAAAATCACTTTATTCATGTTTATTCAGTGCTTTATTCCTGTGGGTCTGTGAACTGCTCAGGGACTTCAGGCAGGGCTGCAAACACCCAGCCCAGGGATGGCTGGGGCTGGAAGGGACATTTGGAGGTCACCCTGCCCAACCAGGGCCACCCTGAGGTGGTTGCCCCAAATTCTTTCCCTTATGGCCTTTCAGTCCCTCACAGGAAATGCCTGCACAGCCTCTCTGGGCACCCTGCCAGGGGCTTAAACTGCAAAAAGCACAAAAGCAATTCCAGGAAAACTCAAACTAAGGGAAGTCTCTTGTGGCAGAGACAGTAAATGTTTATTTAACTTTGTATTTCTGCTAGCTCAGCAGGCAGGAAAGCAAGCCCTGCCCCTAAAAAACAAAACCCAATCATGGATGTAACCCTCAAACCACACTGAACCTGCAGTGTGCAGTTTTCTATGAGAACAGCAACTTTATGGTTTAATTTCCCTTACTTACCACAGATGCTCAGTGATGAAATCCAGGGGGAGCAAACCAACTTCCACAGCAGGGATTTTATCTCCAGGGACAGGAGCGGTGCCTGGCACCGGTTTGGGGGCAGGGTAGGCTGTGCCCCATCTCAGGGTGAGCAGCTGCCAGAGCTCAGCAGGTGAGGACAGAGACAGCCCCACCACAGCCTGGGGTGTTTTTGGGGAAGGGCAGATGGAGATTCCATCCCCTTCTGAACACCCTCCACCACAGCCGAACCCAGCCCAACCCCACCTGTCTGAGCTCCCTTAACCCACCGCATAAAAAACAAACCCAAACCCAGCTAACCCAGGTATTATTGGGACCTCCCTCCTTTGTGCAGAGCCCACCAAACCCGGCAGTTCTTACCCTGCTCAGTCACCCGCTGCCCTTGCAGGCCTCACCTGCCCACCCAGCACACAACTCCCACTGTGGCCAGTTCTCCCCAGACCAACACCCCCATCCCCAGAGCCCCTTCTTCAGGGCAGTGCCAGGCACTGGCAACCCCCACACCCCACCCAGGGCCAGCAAACTCAAACCACAAGCCCAGGACTGCAGCAAAACCCACCCCATGCAGGGGCCACCACACCATTCTGTGGGGTCCTTATATCCCACCTGGGAGCAGAGTGCTGCTAAACTCTAGGAAGAAAAAACAACATGGTATTATTAGCACTTCATTAAGATTTTAATCCAGATCCATTTTAACCACAAGGTTGGTCCTCATCATACATGCACAGAGGCTTAAACTGCCATGGTAAGAAGCCAAAGCATTTCACTGAATACACGTTTCACCTGCTTGAACTGAGACAGACTACAGAGTGTAATGTGCAACAGAAAACTTTATTAGCATTTCAACAGACAGCTGTTCAGCAGTTACTCAAGCTTGCATTAACCTTGCATTAACTTAATATTAAGACATTGAAGAACTACAGTGCAAACACAAGTGCCACTGGCAACCCTGGTGTCAAGCAAGAAGCACAAGAACTTAATAGCCCCCCCTGAGGCGCAGCACCAGGTGCAGGGTGGATTCCTTCTGGATGTTGTAGTCAGACAGGGTGCGCCCATCCTCCAGCTGCTTGCCAGCGAAGATCAGCCTCTGCTGGTCTGGGGGAATGCCCTCCTTGTCCTGGATCTTGGCCTTCACATTCTCGATGGTGTCACTGGGTTCCACCTCAAGGGTGATGGTCTTGCCAGTCAGGGTCTTGACAAAGATCTGCATGCCACCCCTGAGGCGCAGCACCAGGTGCAGGGTGGATTCCTTCTGGATGTTGTAGTCGGACAGGGTGCGCCCGTCTTCCAGCTGCTTGCCAGCGAAGATCAGCCTCTGCTGGTCAGGAGGGATCCCTTCCTTGTCCTGGATCTTGGCCTTCACGTTCTCAATGGTGTCACTGGGCTCAACTTCCAGGGTGATGGTCTTGCCAGTCAGGGTCTTCACAAAGATCTGCATGCCACCCCTGAGGCGCAGGACAAGGTGCAGAGTTGACTCTTTCTGGATGTTGTAGTCGGACAGGGTGCGGCCATCCTCCAGCTGCTTCCCTGCAAAGATCAGCCTCTGCTGGTCAGGGGGAATGCCCTCCTTGTCCTGGATCTTGGCCTTCACGTTTTCAATGGTGTCACTGGGCTCAACTTCCAGGGTGATGGTCTTGCCAGTCAGGGTCTTGACGAAGATCTGCATGCCACCCCTGAGGCGCAGCACCAGGTGCAGGGTGGATTCCTTCTGGATGTTGTAGTCGGACAGGGTGCGCCCGTCTTCCAGCTGTTTGCCAGCGAAGATCAGCCTCTGCTGGTCTGGGGGGATCCCTTCCTTATCCTGGATCTTGGCCTTCACGTTTTCAATGGTGTCACTGGGCTCAACCTCGAGAGTGATGGTCTTGCCAGTCAGGGTCTTCACAAAGATCTGCATGCCACCCCTGAGGCGCAGCACCAGGTGCAGGGTGGATTCCTTCTGGATGTTGTAGTCAGACAGGGTGCGCCCATCCTCCAGCTGCTTGCCAGCGAAGATCAGCCTCTGCTGGTCTGGGGGGATCCCTTCCTTGTCCTGGATCTTGGCTTTGACATTTTCAATGGTGTCACTGGGCTCGACTTCCAGGGTGATGGTCTTGCCAGTCAGGGTCTTCACAAAGATCTGCATCCCACCTCTGAGGCGCAGCACCAGGTGCAGGGTGGATTCCTTCTGGATGTTGTAGTCGGACAGGGTGCGCCCGTCTTCCAGCTGTTTGCCAGCGAAGATCAACCTCTGCTGATCAGGGGGAATGCCCTCCTTGTCCTGGATCTTGGCCTTCACATTCTCGATGGTGTCACTGGGTTCCACCTCGAGAGTGATGGTCTTGCCAGTCAGGGTCTTGACAAAGATCTGCATCCCACCTCTGAGGCGCAGCACCAGGTGCAGAGTTGACTCTTTCTGGATGTTGTAGTCGGACAGGGTGCGCCCGTCTTCCAGCTGCTTCCCTGCAAAGATCAGCCTCTGCTGGTCAGGAGGGATCCCTTCCTTATCCTGGATCTTGGCCTTCACGTTCTCGATGGTGTCACTGGGCTCCACCTCAAGGGTGATGGTCTTGCCAGTCAGGGTCTTCACAAAGATCTGCATGTTGACCTGCAAGACATACAGATGCTTCAGCTGCAGCCACTTAATAAAATAAGGCCTTCAGTAAATCCTAAAAAAAGGTATTAACGTTGCTATTTCCCATCAGTTAAAATTTCTTACTTTAGTTGTAGGAAACGTGAAATTAAAACATCGTTTTCCAGTTTGACTACCTAAACCTGGTTTGAGACAAAGTCCCCTGAGCTCTTTAAACAGACTACTCTCATCACAGGATCCCCAGACCGCCTCTCCTTTATGCCCGCAGTACAGCAAAGCGGCACCGGAGCCCCCAGGCCCCCCTTACCCCCGGCAGGGCAGCACCGCACCCCCAGGGCCCGCCCGAGGGCAGCGCTGCGGCAACGGAGCCGCGACCGCCCGCACTGCGGCACCGAGGGAGGGCCGGGCCCGCCCCGCGGACCCGCCCTGCGGCAGCGCCGCCGCTCCCCCGCCCCGGTAGTGACTCACAGCCGCCTTCCGGCACGGACGGCCCGGCCCGCGCCATCTTCCCCGCAGCGCGGCCTCCTCCCCGACAAGCCTCAGCCTGATCCCCCCTCACCCCCGGCCCAGCTCTCACCGGCGCGGCTCAGAGCGCTACACAACGCTGCGCAACTCCGCCAGCGGCTCCCTCCGTTACCCTGCTGCAAACCGCCCGGTAGCGCCCGGCACGGTCCTGCCTAGAGCACCGGGCCCACCTTCCCCTCCCCGCACCCCCAATTCCCCTCAGCGCACTCACGTCTGCGGCCCTGAGCGATAACCCGATATGATATTTCCAGCGGTGCGAAACCTGGAATCTGCCGAGTGACGCACACCCGCCCTTATTTATAGGGCTGCTGGATACGCAGGCCCCGCCCACAAAAACTAATGTGTCCCTCCGCCTCCCAAAGTAGTCCCCAGGAAAAGGTCCCTGTTGTGGCGCGCACTCGCCTTTTCCCCACTCTAATCCCTCTTCCGCAGGCAAAGGGGTCCCAGAGTTTCAGCGAGGGGGAATCAGACCCTAAAAAATCGGCAAATTTCTGAGGGCGCGGATGGATCTGGGACCGTTTTTCGCCCCGGCGCTGCGACCAGGCGTTGGTGGGAAGACCGGGAAGTCTGGCGGTGATTGGTGGGGTGGGCCGCAGGGCCGGCGCCGATTGGCTGCTCGGGATGGGACAGTTGACGAGGGGCGGGGGTGGCGGGGGCAGGGAAAGCTCTGGAAGGTTCGGCGCTGCTCGGCGCTGATTGGCCCGCGGTGAGGTCACGCTGTTGCTGAGGGGGAGCCGCCTAGCGGGGCAGATTTCGGCCGGGGGGGGGGGGGAGAAGCTGACGCCGCAAGGGGACAGTGAGGGGGTTTAGGATGGGGATTGGGATTAATGATGGTGATAGAAACAATACTGGGGCTTCTTTAGCTCCTGCAGTGCTCAGGGAACAACCTGGCACAGACTTGGGGGAAAGGTGCCCTAAAAAACGGGGGTGACCCTTGGCGCCAGCGTTTTGTGACCCACTGCAGCCTCTGGCCAGCCTTTTGCCAAGGATGGAGGAAAAAATGGCTTTTTCTCCATGGAAAAGCCCAGGACGGGTTGTAGGGCTGGTGCTGGCCTATAAAGCTGTGAGGAAAAGCAGAACTGAGTTAGCTGGGTTGGAAAAAACAGCATAATCCAGGAGGATTATGACAAACAGGAGGGTTGGTGGCTCCTGGGTGTGACACGAGCTGTCCCCTCACGCGGCCCAGCTCCGGGGCTGCCCTGGAACGGGTTGGAGCTGGCTGAGCAGGTAATGCTCTCGATGCCAGCCTGCCAAACAAGCCGTGGGATGAAATGCTGACATTTGAAATTCAAACAGTTGTTTACTCACCTCCAGAACAGGAAGCTTTGATCGGTTGTGAAGTAGCCACCGTCTGTGAAGTGATGTGGAAACGTGCCTCGGGTTAATTAAACTTCATTATACCTTTCAGACAGGCTCTGAACTAATTTTGTACCGTATTAAAGATGGAGTGCACGAAATCCAAGATGGGTTTGGTGGGTTTTTAGCAGCTTTATCTGCTGCTCCTTCAGTGAGGCCAGATGACCTTGTTAAATCCTCCACTCACAAAGCATCAGCACGTGTCTGACTGGCAAGATTCACTGCAGAGCTGCTCTATTTCCCCCTAAAAACACCTCAAACCCAGACAAAAATAACAAAACCACAAAAAAAAACCCCAAAAAACAAACCCCAACGACAAAATCCTTTTGCTTTCCTTTCTCCTAACAGAGTTTCTTGTACCTCCTGATTTACAGTAAAAAGGAACTAAATCATCCTACCAGTAATTACTCAAAATGCAGGAACAGGAAGAGGGAAAAATGATAACTGGAAAGTTCAGACAGCTCCATAACAATAACCAACCTTGGAAATATTATTTTGGCACATAAATTTAGGACAAAAGGCAGAGTTGGGCAATGTCCTGAGGTTTGTTCTGTGATGCCAGCTCTGCTCAGTGTTTCCAGCATGGGTTTTGTTTGGTGGTGCCAAGGTGGCTGAAGGTTTGCTCCAAGGCTGGCCTGGACTTGCTGCACATCCCAGGCACTCTTCCCAGAGGAAAGGCCACAAATGACTAATATTTACAAATATGAAAGGCCACGTCTGTAAAGCTGGAGATTAATGTAAAGCCTGGGCAGTGTTAAAGCATATCACATATTTATTAAGGATTTTAGGGTGCATATTTCTCTTTTTAATGTTCCTCTAGAGAAGGAGAAATTTCTGTAATTTTTCTTTCCTTTCTGTGTAAAGCAGAAAGCACAGGAGCCCTCCCTTGTTTTTTTTCCTAAATATGGCTGTATCTATGGTGTGGCTGTACAAAGCACGTGCATTTAACAAACATTCCACTCTGCCTCTGGTAGCTCTTGGTGAATAAAAACCATTGAGCAGCTGACTCTGAACTGTATATAAATAAATGCAAAGCTGAAAACCCCAGAAATCTCTATCTTGTGACTGCTCTGACCACAGGTGGCTACAGCCTTTGCCAGGGCACGGGGCCTGCAGTTGGGAACAGACATTTCTTTTCAGAAGTGGGTCACTGGGCAGTGGTACAGAGTAGCCTACTTTCAGGAGAGAAGAATCTGAGGTCAGGGAAATGTTTCCAAGGAATCTGTACATTCTGGAACACAAGCTGGGTCTGGTTTTTTATGTAGGCTAATGTCCTAGCAACGAGGTATCACTTTTACATGAGGCAATCTGTTTATCTTTAGCTACCAGGTTTAGCTTGGGACAGCCACCCAGGCCATCACAGGGTGTGTGGCAAGTCCAGTTACTGTTCTTTGTTCAGACAAAAATAGGACTGCTTGCCACAGGGGAAAAAAAAAATTATATACATATACATATTCCTATCTCATAACATTACTCACACCTGCCTCTCACGGTGTATGTTGCAGTTTAATTATATTTACAGTTGTGGAGATAAATATTGTCTCCCTGTAGCAGTGCAGGAAGGTCCAGGCTTGGCTCAGGTTCCAGCCACGAGACAAACAGACCCGTGGCATGTCACTGCTTGTCCCCAAGCTGCCAGCCTGGAGGGTTACACAAACAGTGAGTCAGAATTCAAAGTACTGTGCGTGAGATTGACTGTGATATTCTGAGATTACCAAAAAAAGACAACTCCCTCGGTTTTGTTTTTATAGCTCTATGCTAAAAATAAATTCACCAAACAAAGTTTTTAAGAAGCCACCAACTTCAGGAGCTGAAAGAAGAAAAGCAAGTTTTAAGAAAAACAAATAGATTGGTAGTAAAAGGATGAAAATTAGTGATACTCCTCTGTCTCCCTGTCTGTCTAAAGTGTATTTTAGCTTTGTAGGACACATGGGACTCAGCTTTCAGATCTGTGCTGCCACAATAAACAGGCTTGGGCAGCTCTGGGTGACCCAGAGGGACATGTGACAGCTCTGCTGGCAGGAGACGTCCAAAGGGGATTTTGTAAAGGGCTGAAATCACAGGTTTGTGCCTGCGTGGTGTGCCAGTGAAAGCAACAGCTTTAACTAATAACTAGGTCTGTTCTGCAGCTCCTTGTCTGCATCTCTGCCTCCTGCCCGGGCACGGTTTGGATCCCATCCAAGCTGCAGTGCAGGGAGGGAGCTGCTTTGTTCACCTCCTCTCTGCTGCCGCTGAGCACCTTCAGCTTTCTGGGGGGAGGATTTCCAGCAAAACAGCAGAGAGGTTCCTTGGGAAACAGGCAGACAGAAGAAGAAGAAATGGCCAAAGAAACAGGCAGAAGAAACGAGTCCTAAACCACTGTTAATCATTGTTAGTATGTTCAACAGAAGCTCGGTAACAGTGAACAAAAACAAACACCGCCAAGGCCGTTCTGAGCAGCCCGGGGGTGTCACTTCCTGCATTTTGTTTTCAGATCCAGCTCAGGTCCTTTGATGGTGAGGAAAACGTCTGGAATGTTTCCCCCTCCACCACAGGGAGACTAAAACCCAAGCACAGCCATTTTCCCCCCTGAACAAACCACGTACTTTGAAACACCTCCGTTTTTTAAAGTGTGCTGTCAGCTGTACAGAACTCCTAGTTCCCTGCTTATGAGATATAAAAAACATCCACAGTTCCTAATTCTCTTTCACCCACAAACATGTAGCTGCTCTCGGTGCTGCTTTGGGGATAAAAATGCTCTGGCAGGCAGAATTTCAATGCTGGCTGCGAGCCAGGGCTGCAGAGCTGAGTCATTGTTATACAAGCAGAGCTGAGATGGCACAGAAAAGCCCCTTTGTACTTTAGCACTGAACACGTCAGCCCCTGCTGCCCTTTCAGCATCACAAGACACCTACACAGAACCAACTGTAATTTACTGGACTTTTCCTCTCGTCCACCCCATCATCTCTCTGCATATTTCTTCCTTTTCCATTTTGCCTCTCAAGCTTAACAGCAAATGCATTTTTCATCAAGCTGTTGGTCTCTCCTGAAGCCTGGCAAACATTGCATCAGCTCTGGAAGCAGTGAAATGAGAGCCGGTAACCCTGGGCACTGGGAAAGTGCTGCCTAGGTACACTGACAATACAACATTTGACTGAAATTTGGCTGAAATTGATTAAAATTTAGGGCTTTAGCTCAGAATATCTATGACATTTGTCATTATCCAGAGCTCCACTGTAAAGCTCTGGAATTGATTATTTATGTGAGACTCAGTTTTGTGTTCTGAGTCTTTCATGATGAAATATGAAGCAAATAAAAAAAGAGAAACAATTTATTCACTATGGCATTTTGCACTTCCATTTTTGTCCTCCAGTTCTTTATTCTGAGATATCACAGGGGAACAGAATTTAGCTTCTCAAAACAGTTTCTGCATTTAAAATAAAGTGAACTAATTGTGGAGAGGCACGGAGAGTGACAGATTTGCAGATATTACTTCGACAAACTCACTCCAGTTTTCTCCTGGAGCTGCTTTTTTGAATGCTGGTGGCTCCTGTCTTACAGAGGGTCATTTGTGTGAATCGACATAAGGAGCCCCTCAAATGAGCTCCCAAAATTACCCTCTGGCTCTCAGTGTGCTGAGCTCAATGTTTTTGGGACAGCACAGAGCGTGAGTGGTGCTGGCCATGCCCGAGGGGAGATGAATCCCTGCTGCAGCCAGCACGGGCTCCGTTTCGGTGCCTTCCCAGTTTCACCCCAGTGACTTTTTCCTCCCAAAATACGAGGTGACTGATATGTAATCTGGTTTGAGCAAAGGTCTGGGAGGGGCTCGGATCAGGAGCTCCATGTGAATTTGTCACACAGGGTGTATCTAGTGAGTAACCAGAGCAGAGGCTCACATAAGGGATAACAGGAAACTGTAACTCCGTGCCCTTTCCTATCATCAGAGAGCTGCTGAGCCACTGGATTCTTAAGCAAATCCTGGCATGCGCCATCTCAGGAGGCAGCCTGAACACCAGATCACATGTTTTTAAAGCTCTTTTCCAGACCTGAGTGCTGATGGCTGTTTATTCATTACTGTCCTCCTGCTTTGCCATGGTCCTGGCTGCCACAGGACCCTTTGGTGCCTCTTTGCCTCTCAGCTCACTTGTTTACATCTTTCCCCTTCTTGGAAAGAACAAGACATTAAGTTCTGTTGACTACAAATTCATGATTATATGTCAAACAAAAGAAGTTTCCAGTCTTGCAACACTGAACACAAAGGTTTGTCTTTGGAGTGATTATTATTTTCCCCACCTGAGTGTGACTTGGACATCTCCAAGTTTTGTACTTTTCCCAGCATTGAGAGTTTTACTTGAGAAACAGCACTGGATTTCAGTGTTCAAGAATAACCTTTTGCAAGACAGTTACCACTAAAGGGGTGATTTCACATTTTCCTATTTTGTTGCTGTTGTTATTATTTGCTTGATTGTTTTGGTTTTGGGTTTGGGTTTTTTTTTTTTTTTGTTTGGTTGGGTTGGGTTTTTTTTGCTTTTTAAGGTACGTACTCTCTTATTTTCAAGACTTTGGTAACAGAATTAGTGAAAAGCTAAGTGGGAATCCTGTTAGAAGCCATTTCTCTGCAAAGCTGCCACAATGACTTCAAACCTGAGGAAGGCCTAAACACATCCTGTGCTGTCACAGCAATGCTGTGTCTAAATGAGGGCTGTTCATAGCAGAGAAGTGAAACACCACAATTCCAGCAGCACCTTGGGTCTGCTGAGCACCTTCCATCCGTGAACATGTGAGGCATCGTGCTCAGAATGAGAGAGAAAACCTCGGGCTCATGCCTGTGGATAACTGGCATCCCTTGCCTCAGCACTGGAATCAGAAAATCATAGAATCCTTCAGGCTGGGAAAAACTTTGAAGATCATCAAGTGCAACTGTCAACCAGCACTGCCAAGGCCAGCACTGAACCGTGTCCCCAAGGCCACCACTGTCCCCAGGTGCCGCGTCCAGCAGTTTCTGGAACACTCCCAGGGCTAGGGGCTCGAGCACTTCCCTGGGCAGCCTGTTCCAATGGCAGCAGGGCCAGGGCAGCCACTGTCCCTGTGCTGGGCACTGCTGAGGCCACACCTCAGATCCTGGGGCCAGTTTTGGGTCCAGCTCGAGGGACATTGAGGGGCTGGAGCGTGTCCAGAGAAGGGAACGGAGCTGGGCAGGGGCTGGAGCCGCAGGAGGGGCTGAGGGGGCTGGGAAAGGGGCTCAGCCTGGAGCAAAGGGAGCTCAGGGGGGACCTCGTCCCTCTCTACAGCCCTCTGACAGGAGGCTGTGGCGGGCTGGCATCGCTCTCTTCCCCAGGTAACACGAGAGGACATGAGTGCCAGGGGAGCTTTAGGGTGGATATGAGGAAAAGATTTCTTCACTGTGCGTTCCCCTCGTTGTACCCCAGCCCTTCCCGGTGCCGCTGTGTCCCAGTCCCGCCCGGTGTCCCCCCGTCCCGCTATGTCCCGGCTCCTCCCGTTTCCGCCATGTTCCCTCAGCCCCTCCCGTAACCCCTCAGCACCCCCGTGTCTCCTCAGCCCCTCCCGTGTCCCCTCCCGGTCCCCCCGTGTCCCCTCAGCCCCTCCTGTTTCCCCTCCTGTGTCCCCTCAGCCCCTCCCGTTCTCCCCCCGCCCGTATCCCCTCAGCCCCTCTGGTGTCCCCTTCCGGTCCCCTCCCGTATCCCCTCAGCCCCTCCCGTGCCTCCTCATCTCCTCTGTTTCCCCTCCTGTTTCCCCCCTCGTACCCCTCCCGTGTCCCCTCAGCCGCCCCGTCCCCGCCGGTGCCGCCGTTCCGCCCCCCGGGCCGTGCACGTCGCGGGGGCGCCCCCCGGTGGCGCAGGCGGAGGCAGCGCATGGGGCGCGGCGCGGCGGGCGGCGCGCGGCGCTCCCGGCGGGGCAGCGCGGCCGCGGGCGGGACGCGCCGGGCCCGGAACAGGAATGCGGGGGGAAGCCCGGCCGGGGCCAAGGCGGAGCCCCCCGGGCCCGGCGTCATCGATCTGGGGGCGCAGAGCGGGCGCTGGGCCGCCTTCCAGGAGCGGCACCGGCTGAGCTGCGAGGAGGCGGCGCGGCTGCTGCTGGACGCGTAGTGAGTAACGGGGCCGGGGCTCGGCGCTCCCGCACGAGTCCCGCTCCCCGCAGCGTTCTCTGCACCGCGGGTCCCGAGAGCTGCCCGGAAGGGGCGCCGGGGGTGGGATGGGGAGGGGACGCACCACGGAATAAAAGTGGTTTCTGTGCTAAAGCTGCCCGTGTTCTACGGCTCTCCCATCGAAAATGCCCTTGGGGGCTCCGCCAGGCTCAGCTGCTAAATCTCCACCCATTTCCTGTGCTCGCTCCGTGCAGAGCGCGGGCACATCAGAAGCTGTCCGTGGGAGGCAAAATCTGGAAGGAAAATGTTTTTTCCTTTGCATTTAGCGATTGACCCGCACGGTGACTGCCCAGCTGCTGTGGAGGCGGCTCGGGGAGGGGGAGAAGCACAGGCTCAGAAATTCCTTGGTCATAAGTTCCTTTGCAATTACAACCCAAAATAAAAGACATTTCAAATATTTTGTAGAATCCACAATCTCTGCTTTCCCCAGCTCTTAAATGGAGGAATATCAATGGTGTTGGAGGAACTGTGGGGAAAATTGTGGGGAAATTCAGTTCTCAGTTCCAAGCAGTTTGTTTTGAGGTGATAGCCCTGGTTTCTGTGTAGAGTTGTGTATGGACACAGCTGCAGGGTCAGCACTGTGACCTGGAATGTGGTGGGGAGCTGTGTTGTACAGAGTCCTCAAAGTGGTGCTCTTCTTTCCTTGTCACCATTTTAATTAAACCACAAAAGCAATTGCTGCAGAGGACAAAAGCCATCCTCCACCTCATTCTGACACGTTATTAAATACATTTGAGTGGATATATTTCTTGGTGTTCTGCAACAGCTCAAGACAGAACTGAATAACGAATACATGAATGTCATGTATAGCCCTACTGTTCTCTTGGGCAAAAACCAAGAGAGGAGGATGCCAAAAGCTCAGCTGTGTCTCTCTGCAGTGAATACAGGGGTTTGGTGAAGCACACAGGAGGCTGTCACTGTGGAGCCGTCCGCTTCGAGGTCTGGGCTTCAGCAGATCTGCACGTGTTCAACTGCAAGTGAGTTGGTTTGTTCCCTGTTCCCAGAGATGGATGTCAGCTCTCTGCTTTTCCAACCTTAGAGCTAAAGAGGAGACAGCTGCAGGACACCCTCTGAGCTGTTTCCACAGGATTTACCCGTAATTATGTCCTGATCCACTATGAGATCACTGTTGGTGATTTCAGGTGCTGCTTTGGGCAGGACTTCATGTCTCAGCCAGGCTCACACAGAAAGTGTCAGGAGAGATCTAATGAGTCCAGGTGCTCAGCCATCTGCTTTCTGTTTCCTCTCATGCAGGGGGCTCAAAGCACATTGGTCTTTTTTTAACTTGTTCTTTTCAAGTGACATTACAGCTCTGACCACATGTGCCTCAAACTAAAACACTCTGGTTTCAGTAGTGACCCCTCTTTGCCTGCAGCTCGTTTGCTTCCAGCTCATGGGTGAACTTCTGAACTGTACTTTCTTATTTGCAAGGTAATAGGTAATAAATGTTGGCAGAATTGCTCAAATGTGCTCTGAACCATTAAGTGGATTTCTCAGGGCTAGACTTTGTCCTCAAGAGTTGTGTGTGAGGATATCTTATTGGGGTACCTGTGTAGGGCCAGTCTGTTCACAGGTGCGCTTGACAAACACTACTGACACCACAAATCCACTTTTGCCACTTACCTCTGAGCCATTCTAGCTGTCGGTGGGATTTCTGTTGTCAAGAGCTCAGATTGCTGCTCTACAACCTGTCCACTTCTAGAAAGGTCTGTTTTTTCTTTTACAGTTGCAGCATTTGCACAAAGAAACAGAACCGACACTTCATTGTGCCAGCGTCGCGTTTCAAGCTGCTCAAGGTAGAGTAAGAACTCAGTAAGAGCATGGCCATGAGCATGAGCAGTGTTACCCTCACAGAGCCAAGAACAGGCAGTTTTCTGCCCTAGGTTTGGCTGGCTGGAGGAAATGGCTGCATTTTAAGCTGTCTGGTGTGGTTGTGTCGGTGCATTTTGTTTAGAGCTCTTGCAGTTGCCAGGCCTGACTGTTATGGACACGTGTCCATACAAAGCACAGGGGTTCAGGAAAGGAGCAGGAATGCACAGCTCTGTATCTCAAGTAAAGACAGGAACGTGGCATTTTAAATTGTACATTTCTACATTGTATCTTTCCAAAGTAATGAATCCATCTATTTCCATGGAAAACTTAGAGTGCTTTTCCTTTCCTTAGGGCGCTGACAATTTGACAACTTATACCTTCAACACACACCGTGCCCAGCACACGTTCTGCAAGACCTGTGGTGTTCAGAGCTTTTATACTCCTCGTTCTAACCCTGATGGTTATGGTAGGTACAAAGCAAACTGTGCTAAGCAGAGTTAACCTCCAAGTAAACCTTGGACAAAGATTCCATTGGATGCTGACATGACAGCAGTGAGCAGTATGTGTCCTAAGAGTTTGTTCCTAAAGGAACTGAAGTCTGAACCTGCAGCTCCTCCATAAAAAAACAATCTTACCCATAATGTGTGGGCTTCTTCCTGTGACAGGATTCTCATCCAGGTTCCTCAGCCTTACAGCAAGAGCATTTACAATTCCCTGAGATGCCCCAGCCATGGAGTGGAGCAGGCATCTCCCACATTTTATGAAAAGTAGGTTTCTGTGTACTCTGTTTTTCTTCAGGAATCGCTCCCCACTGTCTGGATGATGGCACTGTGCAGACCATTATCACAGAGGATATCAATGGCAAGGAGTGGGAGAAAGCAGTGAGGGAACATAAGACCATCAGAGACATGTCAAAACCCTGACACATCCTCCCAGCAGCCTTGGGAGCACTGCCAAGGAAATGCAGTCTGGGCTTTCCTGGGTGGTGGTTGGTGAAATCAATCTCTAATTACTGTTACCTGTTCTCTGTTTCTTAAATAAATCTTTCTATGCTGTTTTGTCTCATTCCTTTGTGACATTCAGTTTTCAGCCTGCCTCTGCTCTGTAAACCACTCCAGGGTTGCTGGTTTGGCACTTTGCCTTTAGCTGTGCTAAAGTTTAAATCACAATACAAAAGACTTCATTAGAATCACTTGCACCTCATTCCTGTGTCCTGCTGAGACTCTTGTGAGTTGACCTTGAGCCCTGTTCTGAATCAAGAAGAAAAGCTCATATTTCAGGAGGTGAAAGTGAAGGTGGAGCCTGCAACACAATGTATATAAAAGAAGCAACAGCAAACATCAGTGCAATTAGAAAAAAATGCATGATTTCTGGTGTTTTATTCAATGGCTTTGGCTTTTTAAAGTTCTGACTGAATAACAAAGGTGTTATGGTTATGGTATCTGTGGAGATAGCATTGAAAAGTTACTCCTGATAGCTGGATCTTACAAAAGCACCAAGGGAGAGTTGCCAAGCAGTCCTTGCAGTAGGGGAAACAGTTTGTGCCATATCTTCAATGCAGAATCCTCCAGAGCTTGGCTCCCATTTAAAGTTAATCCAAATTCCTCATCTTATTTAAGCTTCTATGATGAGAAAATAGAGTAGCTATAGCCTGTTCTCAGGCTTTAGCCCTGTTCTCAGTGTATCAGGCAACAAGAGATTCAGAAGGAGATTCACCCAGCCTGGGTTTTGTAGCATGGAGAATGCCACACAAAGAGCACCCCATCCTGTTGAGCACCTAACACAGGAGCTTTCCTGAGTGCTGGGCCTGGGGCAGTCGTGGTTTTGCCCATCCTTTGTTGCTGGAGTGGTGCTGGGTCAGAGCAGGCGCAGGGAGTTGAGCACCAGGTAGCGGGAGCAGAGCAGGTAGAGCTGGCGGAACCAGAGGAGCTGGCTGCGGTGGCACCGCATGGCTCTCTAGGGGGAGAGACAGGGCACAGAGCGTGACAGAACCTTCCAGAGCTGCTGTGGGGGCACTTTCCTGACCCTGCTGTGGGGCTCAGTGCCCGTGTATGGGACAGCCTGTTTTCAGTGAGCAGGGACAGGCAGGGCAGGCTGCCTCAGCTCTGGGCCTGTCTGCCCCCGAGGCTGTTGTGCTGCCTGATGCTCAGAGGATCCTGCTCCACTCCTCCTCCCCACGTGAGCCTGGGGAAGTGCTCACATGCTGGGAAGCAGGAGCCTGATGAGTGTGTCTGGAACATCTCTGTTCCTTCTGACCACTGCCAGCTGCAACTGAGCCTATTTATAGTGCACCAGCCTAGAAAGGTCAGATTTCAGGAACAAAAATACATGGGAATAATGAGCACCACCTTTATCCAAGCTGTTTCCATAAGTAACTCTTATCTTTTAACAGCCTCAGAAGCAGGAAAAGTCTGTAATTTGTGAATTAGCAGCGCTGCTTGCTGGGTAAATATTTTCATGCTGCTAATCAGATTCTGATATAGGGAACTGTGGAGTAAATGTGTGAGATCCTATGCAGCAAAATAGTTTAAAAATGTACAGTAAAGGAACTTGTGAAGAGCTTTGGACCACAAGTTCACAGGCTGTCTCCATCTTTAGTGATCAAGGATGCTGTTCCTGGCATGCAGTCATGCCAGGCTTTCACAGGCCACTCACATGTTCAGAATACTGTGTTGGATCCAGTTTCCTTTGAAATGCATCCTACATCCTGGGGAGTGTCTGAGCTGCAAATCTGCTCAGCCCTGTCCTGTCACACAGGACATGAGGTAACCTGGCTTTTCCATGTTTCTAAAATCACTGCAGACATTCCTCAGTGACATTTCTAACCTGTGGATGACACGACTGGCATCCCCTGGGAATGTGACTAAAGTGCTCACAATGAGGATGAGCCACTCAAACAGGTCAGGCAGGTGCCACTCATCTCACCTTGGCTTGTTCAGTCTCCTCCTCTGTGAGGATGAAGAGTGCATCCCTGGGCAGGAGGCAGGAAATGAGGACATCCAGGAAGGAAATGTATTTCCTGAAGAGATTTACTGATTCCAGCACGAGCACACAGCACCCTACACAGAGAAAGAGGATAAATATTTCAAACCAGCAGCAATTCTTGTAAGGTGCCCTTTTCTCCAGGCTCAGCAGCTCTTTGCAGCTTCCCTGTGCTGCTGGCCTTGGGATTCTTTTTGTGTAAAGGGGGAACAACTTCTGATGCTCCCACCAGGATTTTTTTTGTGTCCAGTGCACATCTATGACCATTTGTATTGTCTGCTATTCTGTATGTGACCTTTTGTACTGGTTCTTGTTCTGTAATAGCCTGTGGAAAGCAAAGCTAGCTCTGAATATCCCAAAAACTGGGTGTTTTTAAATTCTTCCTGCATAATTAGGCTCAAAAAAATAGGTGCAGATGATTCTCTGAATGCTGACACTGTATCATATAATGGAATTTTAAAACAGTAGTTTCTGGTTCAGCTACCAAAATGAAATTCCATCTTTCTACTCCAGTTCTTAGCTACAGAATAAATATTTACAAGCCTCAGGAATAAAATATTAACTCAGGTAGGCAGTAACACTTTAACAGAGTTCCTGAATTCATTGTTCAGATGTTTGTGATGAAGCAGATGAAGGTAACATGGTTCAAAATTCTGCTGATGTTGAAGGGTTTTTTTTCTGTTTCAAAGATCCCTATGAACTCAAAAGTTAATTGCTAATTTTTTTTTTACCATGGCTAAATTGTCTTCACTGATGAGTTCAGAGCTACCGATGGTCCCGTTAAGAGCCCGAAGCTCTCAAGGGAGCTGCTTTGGGATTTCCTTGGCTTGGCAGCTGCTGTGATTATGTTCCACACTTCCCACATTGTATTAAAGTTTGACAGAAGAGGCCAAAGTCACAGTTTACACAGGTGGGCAGAGATGCAATTTGATTTGCAATGAGATTTTCTCCAGTGAGCCCTGAAACAGTGAAATGATACAGAAGAGACAGAACAAAGCTCTCATGGACTCCCTCTGGCACATCACCAGGATCTTTCAATTCCTTTCTTTCTTTTCTTTTATTTTCTTTTCTCCAAGGGTGTTGTTCCAACTTTTCAACACCCTCTCCCACTCTCCAAAGTTACCTGGCCAACTGTTCATTTCAGCACCACAGAGGGCTCCAAGGCCACGCTCCCCTTCCATCGAGGGGACACTGAGGGAGCTGACTCCCAGCAGGTCAGAGGGAGGATCCCAGCAGTGATTTTCTGCTGTGGGCAGCGAGGAGCAGGGCTGGAGCACTCAGGGGCAATCCGGTGTGGAGCGGGGCAGCAGCGCAAGGTCCGCGCTGGGAGCGGCGGGCGCTGCTCGGGAGCCGCCGGGAGGTGGCGGCGTCCGCCGGCCGGGAGGGACCCGGGAGCGGGACCCGCATCCCTTCGGAGCGCTGCCCTCAGCCCCTGCTGTCCCCAGTGCCGTGTCCCCAGTGCCCTGCAGGGTCACGGAGCAGCGCTGGGACGTGCGGGAATGCGGGGTTTGGGACCGGCACGGCCCGGGCACTTCCTGAGCGCCGAGCTGAGCGCCCGTCCCGCTCCCAGCCCGCCGGGACACGGCACAGGCAGAGCTGCCCGGCTGCCATCGGGCCCAGCTGCTCTCCCTGGGGATGCTCTGCAGGCACAAGTGCTGCAGTCGCTCACAGAAGGGCCCTGACACTCCTTGAATCCCACTTGGAGAATTTCTTGTTTGCAAATAGCAAACGTGGAAGGAAACGTGTGATGTGCCGTGAGTGGGGGAACCGTTCTTCCCCTTGCTCTGCAGAGATCCTCTGGCTGCTGCTGGGGTAGTTTCAGGGGAAGAATTAGTACAGGGCTGCTGTCAGCATTCCCAGTGGCACCTGTTTGCTTTTCAAACATCTTTCCTTTCCTGGATGGCTTTAAGGGACTCTGGCAATGCCACACCGATTCCTACTCACTGTCATGGGAAGAGAGGCCTGGCACCACCCTTTGAAGCTTGGGCTGCTCTGTTAACCAAATGTGCTCTCCTTTTCCTCAATTTTTTTCCCCTGAGAAATATTAATTCATGCAGCAATTGCACCCTTTTGTTCCCCAAAGCTCAACAATAAGGACTCAAAACCATGGCAAGTGATTTCAGTGTGGATGGCTCTGACCTGCTGGGCCCTCCTCGGTCAGATCAGGTGAAGTGGTGGCATCCAGCTCCCCAAAAAGAAGGGCACTGTGAGAGCCCTCTGTGACACTGATCCAAGCAGGATTTCCATGTGCTGACAGCAAAGCCTGCTCTGCATGGCAATGTGAGATGAAATGAAGCAGGGAAGGAATGTACAGTCCAGGGAGAGATGGAAAAGGGTTCAGAGAAACAGGCTGCTCCCTGCCAAGCAGAGTGAGAGCAGTGCTGCCATTGAGGAGTCCTGTGACACCAGCAGGTGAAGCTTTTCAGAGCCTGCTGTGCCTGTGACCTGGGCAGGATGGGATTAGCAGTGTAATGCAACCTCTCCAGGTTGGCAGAAAGGGCAGGATCAATATAGCTCATGGATTAGGCTGAGAATAGAAGTGTGGGAAGCCTGCAGCCTGCTCAGCTTGGCTTTCCACTTCCAAATCACTCAGGCAGCAAGGATGCCCAGAATGAGCTCCTGAGCGAGCACTGTGTGTGCTGCAGGCCTGCACTGCTCCTGATGGAAGGAGGCTCAGGTTCTTCTGGAAGAGCACTGGGTGTAGCTGGAAGGGGCCAGTGGCAGGGTGGGAGCACATCCAGCAGTTGCCTTGGCTTCTTGAAACAACTGCTTGTGCCTGGGCTGGAGAACTTGATTACAGATTATAAAAAGCCTGTTGTGTTTGTGCTGGCTAAAGGCATTAGAAAGCAGAGCAGGATATTTAGGGTGCTCATTTGCATATCACTGAGGCAATGCAAGGCTTAGCTGGCTTTTGCATTTGCAGGGAGATTTTCTGTGGATTCCCTGATCACATGGGCTTACACAGGCTCACCCACAAACAGCTCCCTCTTCCCAACAGCAGCACAGCACTTTTCCATGGCCTGAACATGCCTTTCAGCTCCATCCAGACAGCCTCAATCCCACATCACCCTTGTTTCATTAAGCCCCTCTGGTGCACAGCCCTGCACGCCTGCCAGATCAAATTATAAATACTGGGAATTTCAATGAGACTGGAACTATATTTGGAAAGGCTTAGCATAAGCAGCAGCATGGGAGCTCCCCGTTCCTTTGGTGTTTGTAGGTCATGTCAGATGTGATGTAATCAGAGCAGCAAGGCTTGCACAGAGCTCCAGCAGCCTCTTGATGCTGCTGGAGAAATGGAAATGTTCTCTGTATGTGGGTCTGTTTCAAACCTGAATGGATTTGAGGCACAGCCCATATTCAGGACCAGAGTGAAACCTGCATGAGCAGAAAGTGGCTCAGTGTAGATGGGGCCTGACAGCCAGCAGTGACATCAACCACTGCAGCCCCTTGTCCTTTGTGCTGCACACAGAGCTCTGCTGCAGCCCAAGGCTGAACAAAGGAAAGGTCCCAGGAATGAAGCTGGCACTAATGCTCCTCTTTCATGAACTGGGGAATGAAGGGACTGGAGTCAGAGCTCAGCTTAAGGGCATTCTGCCATCTTGGCTCATGCTGTCTCATTAGGCCTGCAACTTCCTGCTAGCAGAGAATTAAAACTGATTTGCTGTGACTCATTCAAATCCTACAATGATTTGGGAATTAGCATTAAAGGAGCACAGCCTGGATGGCTGCTGAAGGAGCAGGAGATTGACTGGGTGGGCCTGGCTGAGCCACCTTCCTAGGCTCTGTCCAAACAGCTGAGTGACAGCTTTGTGCTTAAAAGAGGTCCACACATTTGTCCCTGGGCAGGCACTGTTTGCCAGAGATAAGGGCTGCAGCTCTGCTCTAGAAAAGGGGTCAGGAGCAACCTCCTTCTGTACTTTGTTTCTTTTCTTTCCCTACTTGTACAGAGAATTTCTCAGAGATTCTTGCTCACAGGTGGAAGCAGCCACTACAGTTTGTTGTGCCTGCAGATTTCAGATTTCTTTCTGAGCACAGTTCAGTGGAGGCTTAACTTGCTACATGCAAATATTTTTGGCTAAATGGGTAATTGTTTCTGAGGCTTGTGTCACAGAAAAGGAAAAAGGCTTGTAAGCAGGATGTGACCAAAAACTGTGACTAAGCTGAGGGACCTGGAAAGAGCACTCAAATTCACCCAAGAGACACAGGCCAGACACTGCATCACACCACTGAGGCAGGACAACCCCAAGGGACTGAAAAGTGACTGTAGAGAAAAATTGCAAGAAGATAAAAGTTCAGCTGTGGGTTTCATCTGCAGTGCAGGGATGAGTTGGGCAGCTGAACCCTGGACACAGCAGGGATGTCAAGGACTGCAGGGTGGGGATGTGGGGTGGGAGGAGAGGGATGGAGCTCCTACCTTCAGGTAACTTCCCCTCTGAATGCAGGTACCTGTGAAAGAAGAGATGCAAGGGGTCAACACTCAGTGGAATGACTCAAATCCTGATTTTACAGGAATAAAACCCTGCACATTGAACCAAGCCTTTTCATTTAACACCCAGTGACAATGGCCAATCTCGTGAGAAACTTCAGGAGCCCACACTGGCAGGGCTAAGCCTCATTCCCACACCATTCTGCCATTCCTTCCCTCATCCTGCCTGCTGGGACACAAATAAGCTCCATAAATCAAATTCACTCTCAGACTTCCCAAAAGAAACCCAAGAGGCTGCCAAAGGCTGTTCAGCCCTGGGAGCACCTCTGGCTCTGCTGGCCAGGGGAATTGTCTCAGCAGCTGCTCCTCTTTGGGCACCAGCTCTTTTTTTCTAACCCAGGCTGGCACTGGGACATCTTTTTGCTCACCAAGACTTTGATCCCTTCATTACTTTGTCCTGGGAAGTCTCTGCAGCAAAACAGAACAGGAGGACCAAGGATGGGAGATGTGAATGGTGATGGCACTTCCATCAGGAAGTGTAAGCAAACGGCCCTGGGATGGTGAGGACATCAGAGGGTGTTCATTTCAATTCCTTTCTTAATTTTCTTGCTTTTTCTGCTCATGGCTTTGGAGCCATCCTGGATTTGGCCCACGGCAGGGCTGGGAAGCAGCAGGTCTCCAGCAGATGGCACTCAGGGCTGTCCCACACCCAGTCCTGCTCTTCCAGGAGAAAAAGACATCCAAACAATGGAACATTTGCCAAAAGGAGAAAGGAAATAATAATAAAAAAAAAGTTATTTAACCCTGTGTAATATTTAAAGAGATTGTTATCACCTAATAGTGGTGTATCTGACAAAGGACAATGTGCCAGTTCATGTGTAAATCAGCCAGGATAAAACATGCATTATATGTAAACTGCTGTGTTTCTCCAGTCACTTTCAAACTAGGATTATCTCTGGCTGTTGGTTAAGTTCAAGGAAAAGGATTAGCTACACAGGCCTAGACAAAATAGGAAGCACGGAGTGATGAATACCCAATGCAGTACAAAGCAGAAGTCAAGCCAGAAATGCAGGTCATGACAGAACTCAAACAGCAATCAGAAAACATATTTAAACAGATTCTCCTGCCAGTGGTGTCCTTTGCTCCAGAGGCAGAGCAATGCCATCTCCTGCTAAACAATGGCCTTGGAATAGTGACTTGGCCACCTTCTGCCCCACCATTCAAGCCTTGCTGCCCTGACAAAGACTGTTAGATGTTGCCTTGTAATTTAAATATCTCCATGAATATCTGCTCTGCTCTTCTGCCAGAGGTTTCTTCCCCCCACAAGTGGAATCTGGCCACCCAAAGAAATGATTCAGCACTTGGTACAGTTAGTAAGGGTGGGAAACTTTTAGAATAAGCTTGGAGAGATAAAGCAGTGAGTGGTTGTGAAATCTGGCAAAGTCTGAAAGCCCAGTGTGTGTTCTGGGTGTGCTGCTCTGCCATGGAGGCACCTTCAAAGCCCTGAGCTGCTCCAGGAGGGAACTAATAATAACCACTCCTGTCACTAGAAACAGGAGTGAGAGATCCAGCTCATATGGAAACGACTCAGCAGGAGCAGGGAGCATCTTCAGCAGGGAAGAAAAGTGTGATTCAGCAGTAAATGGAGGAGTTTGTGCTTGTCTAAAGGTTCAGGGAGACACAAACTGTGTTTGGTTACTGAAAGGTCCTCAAAGCTGCTGCCAGCAGACCTGTCACTCATCTGGAAGAACAGGCATGAAGAAACTGCATCTCTCCTCATCCTTTTTGTCCCAATCCAAGTGCTTTGATTCCCAGCAAGGCTCAGTGCAGAGCCCTGGGAACGGGCTCCACCCAGCTCTGTGTGCAGAGGAATTGCAGCCTTGCTCATTTGTATTTCTCTGTGGTTGCAGAGAGAGAGAGAAACACGAAGCTCTACCTCCTGCACACGTTCACAAAATGAGCCAATCCTCTCCCAAATCCATCTTCTCACTCCCATCTCCACCCTGCTGGAGTGTCTCCATGGGACACTTCCAAGTAGGGGAGAGGTTGCAGCTCTCAGTTGTTGCCATTTTGGGAATGTTGTTTTACAGATTGGACTTGCTGTGGTTTGGTCGAAATGAAAGAGTTTGGCATAAAATCTCAAAAAGTAAAACACAGGCTCTTTTTCAGGAGATTTTTCCATGTGGGTGTTTTGTTTTTTCTTCCCGGAGAGACTTTTTATAATCCTTTTTAAACACAAAGTGACCTAAGGTGGCTCATTCCCACCCACTGCCCAGGTGCCAGAGCCTGCTGGTTACAGGGCACCTCTCCTGCAATGCCTGTGGTAGGTTCAGGTCCAGTGTGAGACCCTCTGCAGGGAAGAATTTGGGAAGACCATGAGACATCCAAAGGCTCCAATCATTTGTGCCCTGCAAGATCTCAGGCCCAGCTCCTCCCTCAAGGCCCAGCTGCTTTGAAGGCTCTGCAGCCACCAGCTCCATCTGCTCAGCAGAAACCCTGAAATGGCCCAAAGCCCTCACCCTGCAGCCTCCAGGACTGAGCTGGCTCCCAAATTCCCTGTCTTCACTCAGGCATCCTCAGGAAAGGTGTGAGTGGGTCAGCTCCTCTGTGGCACTGAGCAGTGAAACATCCCAGGCTGTTCCAAGAAGGAACAAGTCAAGATGGAGCTGAAACCTCAGTCCTGGGGAGCACAGAACTCCTCTGGGGCCCATGCCCACGAGGGTGTGTTACAGTCTGGGTGATGTTCTGTTTGATGAGAAGTTGTTCATTGAATTCAATGACTTCACTCTCCAAATCGTTTCCCAAGCCAGAGGCAAAACCCTTCACTGAACTGACTGCTGGCTGCTGTGGAGCACTGGGGAAATACAGTTTTGAAGAGCATGGCAAAGAATGGATGTCTTAAAGCTGCATTGGGGCTCCATTTAGGATCCCAACCTCTAATCTGCCCAATTAATCTGATGAAACAGATGTGAAGGAGGAAGAACAGGCAGTCTCCTAGGAATCACAGAGACATTAGAAGGATATCCTTGCCAGATGTTTGCTCTCTGGAATGCCTCCTCCCTCCTTAGCTGGATTTTCTGGCTCCATTTCCATGCACCCTGAACTACACCATAGAGCAGCACTTTGTACAACACTGCTCAGGCTCTCTGTGCTCACACGTGGGGCAGAGGCCAAAGATGGTTCTGTCAGTGACAATCAGAGATGTTCCAGCTGCCAGAGCTGTCCTGGCTCTGTGCTTTGGGCCTTGCCCTGTCTGGGAGAGGAATGTGCAGTGCCACTGCTCCCCTCACTGTGACACAGGGAAGGACACTCCCTGAGGCTGCTTCTTTGGAAAAAAACCTTCTTTAGGGGGAACCCCTTCTGTGCTGGTGCTCCATGCTCAGATTTGATCCTGATGGCTCTCAACAGTGTCATGGAAGGGCACTGGGATGAATGAACTTGGTCAAATGAAGGAATGAGGGAAAGGGATAAAGGAAAGTGATAAAATCTAGAATTACACACCCAGCTATGGGATAAATGCCAGGGCAGAGAGCTTTGAGGGGAAGTCTCAAGGATAGACAGCAGAGTACAATTCTGTCTCAGCCTTATGGGGACAGTCTGGCTGCAACCACAGCCATCACTCATAAGCTCCCCCAGGACATTTAAGATCAGTAAAACAAGTGAGAAATGCATGAGCTGTAGCTGCTGAAAGAAGAGAGGGATCTCCCAGCCCCACACTATAAGAGGGCACCAAATAAAAATGATAAATGGGATATCCTTCACTCTTATCAAGCTAATCACCCAAACCCAGCTTCCTCCCTGTCCTTTAAGACCTTGCCTTGGGAATTCCACAGAAGCTCACAGCAGAACTGTGCTCTGTTGGGGTGGGATGCAGTTGGTGGCCTCTGAGAATGGCTCCCACCAAGGAGGACTGGCTGGACACTGCTGCTCTTTGTTTCCATACACGGATTTGCAGCTGGCATTCACCCAACCCTCCCCTTCCAGGGAGGCTCAGTGCAGCCTCTGCACAATGTCCATGGCATTGGCCATTCAGGAGTGGGGCATTCAGTGGCCAGGCTGGGACATGGCAGTGCCACAAGGCATTGGTGGCACTCGGGCTGCATCCTAATCCACTGCTGAGTGATAAAACTCCCAAATATCATCCCTGCACAGCCTCATTTACAACCTGCCACAGAGCTGGTGAATGTTCACAAACATCCTGCAGGACTGGGAGGTGTTTTTCCAAATGGAACTGACGAGAATAGGCTCAGCTAATGATTCCTTGATGTAGCTTTTTATATGGCATCATTGATAGAAGTTTTATGGATGCAGTTGCTATAACAACATAATGCACAGTGGTTAAATATAGCAGCTCCTATTTTCCACTCAGTTTGCTCTGCCCTAAGCAGACAAGACTATTCTTTTCTGTTCTAGCTGGGATAAAATGGATTTGATAGCTCACTAAAGAAAACAAGTGGTACAGTCCTCCCTCCTCCTCCTCCTCACAAAGATGATTCCTCTCCATCCTAAGCAAGCAAACAACAAACCCAACAGCCCCCCATTTGCCAGGCTCCTGGGCCAGAGGGGCTGTTTAAAATCAAAATGCACAGTGACTCATGCAAAACTAAACCACCTTGATGTTACATGTGATCTCAGTGCAGGCACTGCCATTTCAGAGTGCAGGAAAGAGAGGTTCTCCAATGTTCCTGCCACAGAGTATTTACCAAGCTCATCACCACCAGCCTTGTGACTGGCCAAATGCTGAAGGGGGATAAAGTGACCTGCATGTCACTGAAAACCTGCTCTTCCTTGAGGATGAGAGTAAAGGATCCAACCTCCCATGGCAACAGGGAAAGCTCCTGTTTTGGGGGATAAAAGAGGATGATGTTGCCAAATCAAGCTACAGAAGATTGCTTCCAGTCCTCCCTGCTTTGCTGCAGTGGGTTTTTCTTGCGTTTGGGTTGGGTTTTTTTTTTTTTCTATTTGGAAGCCAGAACTGAAATACTCCCAGGGGAGACTGAAATCAAATAGTAATTTGTGTTCGTCTCCCATCCTGTTTTTTCTTATTTTTCCCTTGCAGAAGAACCAATCCATCCTTGAACCCTGGCATTTCCCAGTTCCTCCCAGATCTGAAGGCCAGGCAGGCACTCAGCAGCAGCTGGACTCCTGCAAGCTGCTGCAAGGGAAAGAGCTCATTTCTTCTGAGTAGCTCCTGCTCCTTTGAACATAACCTCTGTTCCAGACACTGGGAAGAATATTTATGCCCTTAGCAGACAATACTGAGCATCTGCTCAGCTATGACCATTTCCTGAACTGTTTTATTCCTTTGAAGCTGTTCAATAATCTGCACCTCCTGAAGTGAGGAGTTGTGGGAGGGGTCACAGAGCCCATTCCAGCCCTGCTCTTGCAGAAAGTAATCTCATGGAAGTGGGCACAAGCCTGTCCCCCCAGAGACTGGGAGCATCCAAAAGAGCTGAGGATCACTGCACCAGCTTCATCCTTTCCTCCACTTTGCACAGTGGAGGCAGAACCCTGCAGGACTTGTTTGAAGAAGGTTAATAAATACATTGCAGATGATACCTGGAGGGGAGAGGTCGTTTGCCTTTCCCTTGCCATGCAGCACTGGGGCCCCAGGGGCAGCCACTGCTGCTCTGCAGAGCTCTGCTGGCACAGGGGCACAGGGGAAGCCTCAGTTTATGCTCCCAGAGCTGCCTGGACTGGCCAACATGTGAGAACTCATCAGGGCACTGAGAGTCAGGAGTGATACAGTCACGCTCTACTTCCTCCATAACACAAACTGAAAAATAATGAGGGCAAGCAAGGCACTAAAAATAAACTTAACCTTTCAGCAGCCACGGCATCACCCCTGCCACATGCAGATGATGGGGCTGCCATGATTAATTCTGCTGATTCAGGACTGGAAGGGAGACAAGACAAAAAGCAGCCCTTAGTTAATGAGAATTGCTCGTGCTCTGGTGTCCCCATCAGCATGGATCTCATCAGCCCAGTGTTCTGCTCCAGCTGAGCACCAATGCAAAGCTCTGGGTTCAAGGGAATTGTAGACAATGAGCATTTCCTGGTAACATGCTCTGAGACAAGAAGAGGGTTAGATCCCCACTGCACACACAGGAAACATAAAGCATGAAGGTGGGAAAGTGATTTCTGCACAGCCACAAAGTAAGACAAGAGTAGAACTGGGGTCAAAATCAAGAGTTTTCCTTAAATTTCTCATCTATAACTCAGCTGCTAACTTGTTTTCCCATGATCTCTTCAGGGTGGAGGAGGACACCTAACAACCTGCCTTTCATTCCTCCTTGTAGGTCACAGAGCAGTTGAGTGAGCAAACAGAGGCCCACGCAGCTGGAAGCTCTTTAGGCCCTCTGTGCCAATGGTGTGAGCATTGGTCATCAACCTCTGCTCCTCAGTGTTCAGCCTGTGCTCAACCTCTGTTCTTAATGTTCAGCCTCTGCCCAACCTCTGCTCCTCAGTGTTCAACCTCTGCTCAACCTCTGCTCCTCAGTGTTTAGCCTCTGTCCAACCTCTGCTCTCAATGTTCAGCCTCTGCCCAACCTCTGCTCCTCAGTGTTCAACCTCTGCTCCTCAGTGTTCAATCTCTGCCCAACCTCTGTTCTCAATGTTCAGCCTCTCCCCAACCTCTGTTCTAAATGTTCAGCCTCTGCCCAACCTCTGCTCCTCAGTGTCAGCCTCTCCCCAACCTCTGCTCCTCAGTGTTCAGCCTGTGTTCAACCCCTGCTCACTCCTCAAACTGTGCCTGAATCCACCTCCCCATCCAGCCCAAACACAGCACTGCTTCTCTAACCCCACCCTCTCTCCTCTGTTAGGCAATTGCAGAAGTTGCTGGGAAAGCCATGATCCCCCTCTAACACTGAATTCCAGCCATCAAAGCTCTCAGCATCTTCCCAGAGGAGCTGGAGGTCCCAGTATGGGTTCTGTGGCACTGCAGCTTTCTCTAGGCAAGTGAGAAAGGCAAATCACTGTGATGTTGTCAGCAAGGACAGCCAGAAGAATTTGTTTATTTGAATTGCACAGATGATTCAGAAAACAAATGGGTGCTATAAATACAAAGCTGTACTTGCAAAGAGTTCTTCTCATGCCTGGGAAAGCCAGGGGCAGCTCTGGAGGAAATCTCTCTAGGACACAGAAAGGTCTGAATGAGCAGAGGGTTAAAGTAAAATACAGTGGCTGTCATGCCAGCAAAATCTGAGTGATTTTAATAAAGGGATTTCTGTCTATTAACCTCACCATCACAACATGGAGACACGGGGTCTCAAAATGTAAGGAATAAAATGGTGAAGAAACGAAGAGACTATTCCTAAAAGTGGTAAATAGGGACAGCTCCAGTGAAAGAGCAATGTTCTTGAGCAGAGAGGTAAATTCAGGTACCTGGACAAGATGGCAACATCCTCTGCTGAAGAACTTTCCAAAACCCACCTGCCACCAGCTCAGGCATCAGGTATTCACACACTCCTCAAAGCAGAGTGCAAAGTGATCTGTGGCATATTTTAGTGGGATCAAGGACAGGAAGAGCAAAGAGGGCCCAGTGAAAGGGAGTCTGGCAAGCTCCCAGCTGATAGAACACCAGAAGTTGCTGTAGGTTACTTCCAGAGCTGTGGCAGTTTCTCCAGACAGTGTCATGTCCCACAGCCTGCAGCAGTGAAGTGAACACTGCCCTGGCTCTGTTTCCTCAGCAGCACCAGCCCAGCCCAGAGAAGTTTGCAGACATTGTACCTGACAGCTTTGTAGAGAGAGATGTGGTTGGCATGGCCACTCACTCCTCCTGCATCGAACGTCACCACCTGCAATAAACACACAACAAGAAGCATTTAGGAGCAGGAGGAGGAACCTGAGCAGTTCCCACATTTGACATCCAAGCCCCGACCCAGCCAGTTGTGTCTAATGAGCTGTTTATGTGTTGCACAATGAGGCCTTGTGTGTGAACTCCTCACGCCACAGAAACACAAGCAAACAAACAAGGCACTCTGGAAGCAGATGAGTGCACAGCCCAGCAGCCTGAACAACAGAGAGATGACAAAGATCGTGTCCCCACTGGCAGGATGCACTTGTTACTTATTACCGGGGCAAAAGGTCACTTTCAGAGTGATCTGTTGCAAATGTGTTCCTGACCCCAGAGGTCCAGCTCTATGAATCACTCTCCCCTGGACCTGAGAACATCCTCCAGTGCCTGTGGATGACAGGGTGAAGCCATGGTTTGAATCAGGACATTGCTGCAACACGAGCCACACGAGCATGTATGCCTGTCCTGGCTCTGATAGGAGAAGCAGCCTCTTTAAATAATCTGAATGCACTTTTTGTACAACTAAACCAGGCTTTTCACTGAATTAGATTGTATTGTTAATTGCTTCTCTGCAGGGAGAGATGGGAACTCCAAAATGCAGAAGTAATGTGTGCACAGAGCCCAGAACACCCCTGGCTCCCTGCCCTCAGAGCCACCAACAGAGTGCCAGGGCTGAGGCGTCACCCTTGGGACCCCTCCCTGTGTGGGGCTGTGCAATGGGCACTTAAAGGTTCCCGGTGCCAACCAAGCAGCCAAAGTGGCAGCACAGAGTGTAGAAAGGACAGGGAATGGGCCATGCTCTTTGCAGGGAGTGACAGTGACAGTCCCTGGACAGAGCAAAGCTCAGGGCTTGCCCTGGGAGAGGCCCAGCAGCAGAGCTCTCCACAGCTCCCTTCTCTGGGAGCAGGAAGAAATCATCCACTCCCACATTTCAGGCAATGTTTGCTTCCTTGCCAGCTTGTTCTCTCCTCAGGGAAGGAAATGCTGCAGCCCTGCTCACTCACTGCACCTCCCTTCACAAAATCTATTTTATATGCAGGGCCTGGAGCACTGGGTTAGAGATCAGGGGAAGATCAAAGCCACCGTGCCCGTCCTGCAGTGTGCTCCTCCAGCAGGAGAGGCCCTCCCAGCCAGGGGATATTGAGTCAGGAGGGAGAGGAAACACAAAGGCAGTGATGAGAAATACTTCAAACCCCACAAACTTCACACAAGCCTGCTTATAAACCCACCCACCCACAGTCAGACTTTCCACTTTGCCCAGTGGCCAGCAAGCCCCAGGTTGCTCTTTGCTGGCAGGAACTGGTGGGACCAAAATTGGTTTCATTCACATACAAAACATCATTTTTTGATCAACTCCCATTTTATAAGGAGAAGAAGGATGTGTTTAACCTTGGCTGCTGCTGCACATCAGCACTAGCAGAGAGCTCTGCAGGGCTGAGCCCTCTCTGTGGATATCAGCTTGTGGAGGAGCTCATCATGAAATTCAGCACAGCTCAGGGTGAGCACAGCACCCTGGACTTTACAGATGAGAAAAAAACCACACTCTGAAGTCACTGCTACTTAGAGTGGTACTTCCCTGAGATGACAACATCCCCCACTCACTGCAGGCAGAATAAATTCCTATTCAGGTGAATAACAGTGTGAGTCTGATAAGGGCTGGACTTGCACTAAACCCTTTTTACTCATGGGGACAGAGAGAGGGTTTGTCTCTTCTGTCTGCTCCCTGATTTTCATGTAATTTGTACAAACAGAACATTTTTAAGAGCAGCACCCTGCTGTCAAACGTGGTTGAAATTAGCCAATGGGCTCTAAAGGCTTTTGAAACATGCATGTGCACATACATATAAATACAATTGCATTATTCCTGTTTCCTTAGGAAATCAAACTAAAAACCCCAGACAAGCCAAAACACACATTTTTTCTTCTGTGGAGGTTACAAGAGAACAAACCAGAAGACTGAGATAAGAGACTTCAGTGAGCAGACTAAATAAACTAATCATTGTTTTTACAAAACTGGCTCGGGCCAACTGTGGGAGCAACAAGGCTGGGTTAGGAAATATTCTTGACATGGGAATTATCTGTTCAGAAACACCTTTGCAGGTTTTCCTTCTCCACATCTGTTTTGAAACAGAAGCTGCTGAGCTTATGTAACATCTGAAGCAGCTGAAGAGGCTACAGAGAGCCCATTTTCAATTGCTGTAGTGCAGTTTACTGTTACTGTTTACTGAATTGCCTGTCTCTTCAAAGAAAGGGAGTTTTAAGTACAATTCCCAAGGTATCTGCACAGTGACTTGGCCAAGGTGGCATTGCTGTGTCTGATCCCTCTCAGCACACATCTGGCTCTGGGACAGCAGGGATATCCCACCCTAAATATATCATATATCATCTAAATATCTATATAAGTAATCAGGGCTCTGATTCCACAGCACCACTGTGCTGTTCATGAGTTAAAGCAGGCAGCAATCACATGTAAATCAATCCCTCTGGCTTCAGGGATTCATTTCATTGATAAGGAATTTGAATTTCTTTCTCACATGCTGAAGATATTTTCACACGGGAGCATTTGCTCCTTCCACACGGTGCAGCTCCTGCTGTGCTGGCTTTTAACTCCCAACCTGAACCAGGCTGATGATGAAATCAAGCAAACAATCAGGACAGGATGAGAAAACCTGAACATCTTGAAAGTGTCTGACTTAAAAACAGGCTTAGCCAGTTCTGGGAGCGAAAGGCTGGGATAGTAAATATACTTCATGTGGAAATTATTGCTCAATGAAATCTTTAGGGCAAGAGGGAGTTCCCTCCCCACACCTGTTCTGAAATGGGAGCTGCTGCTGTTGCTGGTTTTTCTTCTAGGTGACCTTGGTATTCAGGAAATGGAGCTTTCACTGGTGGAAGCCAGAGCAGCAGCCAAGACAAACAGGTCCAGAAATCCCTTCCGGAGAGGGGAGAGCACAGAGGAAATTACTCAATTACCAGCACAAGAGAAAACTCCTGAGAGCTCTGGAGTCCATGATCCCTCCTCACACCTCAAAGCTGAGGTTCTCCTCCTCTCTCTGGTGTCACACTGTGCTTCAAACACAGCACACATCTGCTGTGGGGACACAAAGGTCTCTACTTTTTAACAAGAGCTATCCCTTAAAATGCTACAGCAAGCAGCTCCACTTCTCATGGCCTTCCCTGAGCATCTCTCCTTGCACTCCCAGAGCCCAGGGAGGCACAAACTCCCTCTGAGTTCCCTTCTGAGTTTGGAGATGTCTTTTGTGTCTGATTTAGGAGCAACAAGAGCCTGCCTGGAGCTCACACAAGACTGTGTAACTTCTTTTTTTACACACCAAACACTTTCTAATCTGGATCAAGACTGAGCAGCCTTGGCTGCCTCTCCCTGCAACACTGGCTTTTGCTTGGAAATCCAGCAGGCAGGAAATAATTCCCAAAGTCTATAAATTAGTTTTGGCTTTGACTACATCATTAATTTCTGTGTCTGCACTATTTAATGTAGAGCTTGGATGAAATATGTCCCTGTAGCTCCCAAAACGATTGAGCTGCTCCTGGACTTCCAGGGCAATTGAACAAATGAGTAACCATGTAATGGAAGGAAACTACACAGAACATGAGGGACTCCTTGCCTTGCAATCCTTCCTTTCAGACATGCTGGAACTGCAGCCCCTGCTCCACTGCCAGATGGCACACAACATGTTCTGTAAATAAAGATAATAAAGATACCACTGTCCATGCTGTGACTACTGGGAGAACTGGGGAAAGTTTTCCCACTGGGATAGCTACAACAATACACACCCTCCAGCCATGCTGACTGCACTGAGCTGGGCTGAAACTCAGTTAGTTTTTGGTTTTTTCAAGGCTCTTTTAACATGTTCAACCAATTCTCTCCATTTCAACATTAGTGATAAATGGACTCAGTTTACCTTTCAAGGCAAGGCTATTGGGTTAGGACAGCAGAGACATCACAGAGAGCAAGCTCTGAAGTTTTAAATTGCAGAATGTTTAACAAAGGTACTTAGGTACTTCTCTCACTGTGTTGGCAAATTCAGTCTGCTCCTAAATGAATGGTATTACAGCAAACAGCTGAGACCTGTGTGATTGCTTGGGACACTTCAAATAATGAACATTTCCAGAGCAGTTCATTACCAGCTGCCCCTGGTGCTGCTGCTGCTGTGTCCTGCTGCAGTGATTTGTGCTCAGTGCTGCTCAGGGAAGAGCTGATGGCAATGCAGGGGCTCCCATCCTGGCAGGGCCAGCACCAAGCCCAGCAATGTTTCCTGTTCTGCAAACCCCACATTCCCTGCTCTGCAAACCCCACATTCCCTGCTCTGCAAACCCCACATTCCCCTGCTCTGCAAACCTCACATTCCCTGCTCTGCAAACCTCACATTCCCTGCTCTGCAAACCCCACATTCCCCTGCTCTGCAAACCCAACATTCCCTGCTCTGCAAACCCCACATTCCCTGCTCTGCAAACCCAACATTCCCTGCTCTGCAAACCCCACATTCCCTGCTCTGCAAACCCAACATTCCCTGCTCTGCAAACCCCACATTCCCTGCTCTGCAAACCCAACATTCCCTGCTCTGCAAACCCCACATTTCCCTGCTCTGCAAACCCCACATTCCCTGCTCTGCAAACCCCACATTCCCTGCTCAGCTCAGCCCTGTCAGTGACAGACTCCAGCCTCCCCCAGCACAAACAGCTGGAGTTTAATTTTCCCCCAGGCAAAGATCTAATCCTTCCTAACCGTCCAGAGGAGTTCTGGTGTTTTCAGAATTTCTTCTGGGATTTTGGTGCACTTGTCCCTGTGCCCCTGAGAGTCACAAACATGCAGTACAAATCCTCCTGTGCTTGGAGCTTTCAGATTAGATTAAAACCTATCTATTCAGGGGGCCAAAAGGCACAAAAGGAGTCCAGGAAAAGTGCATTTGTCTCTGTGCACAGCAATGAATTTCATGGAAAATTAGCCTCAGAATCAATACAAAGTTGGATGCATGATGCTGGATTTGTGCTCGTGGGGCTTTCATGCTGCAGGAGATGTGGTTTCTTGTTTTGTGAAGTGCTGAAAGGCTTTGAGAGTTTGGTGATTTTGCTGCTAATCAGTGTGTGACAGTGCCATGCCTGATCAAAGCAGGGTTCAACAGAGAAGAACAGAACACAACCCTTTCCATGCTTAGGCCCTTATTCCTGTTCTGTGGGAAAAAAACCCCAAACTATTCCAGTGCCAGGAAATCTCCCCAGTTTAATATCCTTCAATCCTGACCTATAACCCTGCTAATCAAGCTCTCTAACACACATCTGCCAATGGGCTTCAAATCTAAGCCTAAACCTAAGTCTAAAGCCCAATTTGGCTCTCTCCATCACATGGTTACTTTAAAATACAGAAACCATTTGAAGAGTTAGAAAAGTGTAATTCCTCCATTGTTTGTTTTTCAGTGGGAAGCAAAGAAAACTCTCCTGAGAGAGAAGATACATCCTAACCTTGGAGACTCCAAAGAAAGCTTCCAGAGGGAAAGGCAAAGCCCAGAACACTGGCTCAGGAGTAATGTGGCAATTGCCAGTGCTGCAGAAAGTGTCACATTACCAGGTTGATGTTCTTGGCTTCAATGTGCTCCAGGACAAGGGTGGCCAGGAGCTGTGTGTCCCACTCCACAGCAGGATCATCAGGAAGATCCCTGGAAATGAGAAGGGCCATCAGTCACTTCACTGCTGAGAACTTTGTAAAGACCGCTCTGGAACAGAGAGATCATCTTAATCACAGAATGAAATCAAGATAAATTTATTTGCCATATAAAACCAGCTTAAGAGTCTTACAAGCTTGGATACTGGAGAGTTGAAAGAGAAAAAGCAGTTCCAACACCCTCCTCGTGGATTTGTCAAAGTCTCCCTTTCCTCTTACCATCAAGGCAGACTTTGTGACTGCTTTACTTCAAGCAACATCTATTTTCTAAATTCTTTTTCTTGATTTATCCCAATCAAATTTAAAACCCCTTTAAAAATACATTTTTCTGAAAGACTTCCCAATTATAATCTACTGGTGAATTACATTGGGAAGGTACCAAGCAAACTCCTGCTGTCATTTATTCAGGAATAATCCACTAACCACAACCAGAGGACAGCAGAGTTGTAATTATATGGCTTGGATTTGATAGTAGCTGTTCATGTGTTTATTTTGTGCTCTGCATACCCAGCTGGCATGCAGAGCACACTGTGACTGAACTCCCTGCCTGGGTATTTTGGATTGCAGGACTCTAGGGGCAGGGACCATGAGCCAAATGCAAAATAGCACCAGACAGCCAAGAGAACATTCCATATTTACACAACTGAGAGCTGAACGTGACCCCCCAGTCATTATGTTTGAATGATGCCAAGAAAACATTGCTCACAAAGTTGCAAAGGTTATTAGTAACAATAGGATAACACACAGCTGCTGAAACCCAGTAATGACATGTTTAACTGGTCTTTTTCTCAGACCTTTTCCCTGCTCTGGAAGTCTGATAATCACTGTGAGGTGGCTCAGCAGCAAAATGACTGCACAGCATTCTCCCACCGAGCCAGGGGCTGCAGCTGAACCTCTCCAGCTGTTTGCAGCAGAGCAGGAGCCACATCCCAGCCCTGCTCAGGCCTTGCTCCCTCCCTGCTGCAGGGACAGCAACATCTGCAACAAAACTACAGGGAAAGTCACATCCCAAAAGAAACCTCAGCCTGGCTCTTCAGGAGAGGTCTTCTGGGCAGAGATTTTCCCACTGCTGTTAGCAGTAGCTGGAGTGGAAGGAACAGCTTTATGTCCAAACTGACCATCAGATTTCCTCTTGTGTTACATTCTCCTCTTCAGCTCAGGCCCAAATAATGTGAATTAGAAACCCCAGCACAAGGGAAGGAGTTCCTGCACCAGGCTGCACATTCCAGCTCTGGTCCCTGTAGCAGCACTACAGCAACAGAAAGTTTTGTGTTGTTGGCAATTCCCTCTGGGACAGACAGTACCTCTGCCTGATGGACACCAGACACCTGAATTTCAGCCCTGGAAGGATGCCCTGGTGCATCTGCTGGCTGTCTCAGCAGCTTAACAAACCTGCACCTTTCACACAAACTTTCACACCTCCTGCTTGAGGAGGAAGTGGCCCAGGGGACCCTGAAGGTATGGCCAGTCCCAGCATGTCACAACAAGCCCTAAACTGAGCACATTTATAAATATTATTCACCTAAAGCATCTCAAGAAACAGCCAGACTGAGTCCAAGTGCAAGTGTGACAGTGCTTCAGTTGTTTGAATGATTCCTTCCAGGCCTGTCAAGCCTTAACCTGATAATATTAAAGTAGCAAATTATCCAGCAGGGATTCTCCCACTGATCACTTGCAGTGCAAATATCATTCCCCTTTTTGGACAGGGCTTAAATGGAGGAAGTGAAGAGTCCCATTAAAACAGGAAGGGTGCTCCAACAGTGAGAGGTCAGGAAAAAAAAGTAGGGCTTGGAATTTATGATGTCCAGGAGGCTTTGGTGTCATAGCCACTGCACTCAGCTTTATTGGGCTGTTTCCAAAAAGGCTGCTGGGTAGTGGAGCAGGTTTTAACTAGTTTAGACAGATAAAGATCATCCTCGTCAATGGAAATGAACAGCTGGAGGCAACGGTTTAGAATCCCTGGAAACAAAACAATCTGAAGGCATGAGCAAATTAACCCCATCAACACTGAACTGATTGAGCAGGAATATTCTACCCAAAATTCTGCTTCTACACCGTTACTGCTGCTCATAGAGAGACCACTTACAGCCAGCAAGGAAAAGGAAATATTCTTCTTGCATCATATTTGTCAGGTACAGAAGAGAAGCTGATCTTGCCAAACAAGAGACACATGCACAGAAGCACATTCCTCACTCATTAATAGCCACGATGGCCCACGAAAGCATTCCCAGCTCATTCTGCAAACACAAAAACTCACACACAGCTAACAGACAAACCCACAGGCACCCAGGGAAGTCAGCAGAGCTACATTCATTCAGCAATAAATACATTCATCTAGACTGCTGCAGGAAGTGACTTTTCTTTCATGGTAAGAGTTTGTATAATATTTTATGAAGTTGGAAATGTGTTCCCATGATAGAAAGGGACCCACAGAAAACATGAGAGCTGTAATTTTCTGCCTGTGCTCTGGATATCAGTAACTGGGTACAATAAGGATGAAAAGGTGATGAAGAGAACTGAGTTCATCCACAGCCATGCACACAGGACAGGTTTACATGAGATCTCCACATGCCCAGGGAGCTCTGACGGGACATTAAAAACTGCTCACAAAATCATACATGAAGAAAATACTTTTCCTAATATCATAAATAGGTTCTGCCCAAACCTGAGCAGTCCCCCGAGGTGCTGCACTATTAAAATGAGCTGCATTCATTGCTTTTACCTTCAGGACCTTGTATGAGAAACATTCAGCATTTCAGTGGTTAACTGCACACTGCCTTTCTGGCTAAGGCTGATAATGCCTCTGAGCTCAAGGTCGAAGGGCTGAGATAAAGGACTATAAAGGAGTGAAAATTAGCACATTCCCTGGAGCAGACTGGAGCTGGTCCCAGGAGCCACCGTTCCCCTCCCTGTCCTCTGCCCCACAGAGCTCCTCGTTGCTGCTGTCAGTCACTGCCACACACCAGGACATAAATCCTGCAGCAGCAGGTCCTGCTGCTGGAGGGGGCTGTGGGAAGGGCACAGGGCTTTGGGCACTTGGCCATATTTCCATCAAACTATTATGGTCTGGAAGGGATGTTTATGGGATTCCATGTGTCTCATACTGAATGCAGGTGGCTGCTTGGATGCAGGGAAAAATGGGGAGATGAATAGGAGGAAAAAACTATTTTTAATGGAATAAGGCTTCAGAAGAGTTGTTTTCCCAGGAATTTTCAGTGAAACCCATGCTGTGCACTGTACAGGGAATTTACAGCTGTGCCAGGGGATCTGCAGCCTCAAGAGAGGGAAATGGAGAATTATGCTGCAGTGTGGAGAAGGGTCTGTCTCTGTTCACTGATTTCAGCATGTTCAGAAAACAAAATCCTGCACCTTCCTCTGTACCCATCCACGGGTGGCAAGAACCAGACAGGACCCCTGGTTTTCTCCACCTCACTCTTTGCTTTCCTCCCTGCCAAGCTGAGCAGAGCAGACCCTGGCATCTGCAGCTGCCCTTCCCAAGGTTTGCCCAGGAAGGATGAAGTGGATGTCCTGGGTGTCCTGGAGCTCCCTTGTGGGGGTCTCTAAGTGCCCACAGCAAATCACATCAGCGTGAGGCACCACCCCACCTTGTGCAGGTTTGGCCCAGCAGCCTCACAGCTGAGAATGAGAGATGTCCAAAATCATCATCAACCATTTCTGCCTGGTGCCAGCTCCTCTCCAGGGCTCTCCTCTGCCTGCCCTGGGCTGGAGCTGCTCTCCCACCTCAGCCTGGGACACTCTGCACTTTGCCAGCCCTGCAGGCCCTGCCAGCAGCCAGCAGAGTTTTGTAGGCTCATCTTTCTAGGAACATTTGTGCTCAAGATGATCAGATTCCTGTCATTTGGGAGGTCACTTTTGGCCAAGGTAGAGATTTCAAAGCCTTCACAGATATATATTGCCAAGTTATTCCCTCCTTACATGATAGACTGCTCAATCCCGGTCCAATTTTCCACTGCTCACCTTCCACAGAGCTTTCAGCAGCAGCCAGGGCGTTCAGATGGACAATCCTCTCTTGAAGCTTCCCATGTAATTTATTCTGCTCATGAACTAAGCTCTCATGACTGCTCTAAAGGTTAAGTTAAACCCAGCAGCTGGTCCATGTGATGGCCACATGGCTCCACAAACAGCAAATGGGCTGTGGGATAACCTTGAGACCTGACCCTCTGTGAGCTGGGAAATCCCCAGGCCCTGGGGGCTCTGGTTACCCCAGAGTCACCCCATGGGGACCAGCAGGGACCTCTCTGCCCTGACATGAAACCTTTGTGGGTGGCTTTTACAGGGAGCAGGCAATAGAGAGGCTTCTTGGAGATGTTAAGGTCTCCGTTTCCACATTCCAAGACACCAGTGCCAAACTTTCAAGGTGCCCATGTGATTTTCCATCCCACTACACACCAAAAGGGTCAGGATGAAAGAGCTTTCCCATTTCTTATTGCTTTTTTATCCTGCACCACTTTAATCAGTCCAAGGCTAGGGACCAGGAAACTTTTTGGCATAACTTCTCCTTCTCCCCAGTGCCTGATTTTCCATTAAATCAGCCCAAAGGTCAGTGGGCTGATGGTGGAAGCAGGTGAGCTGCTGTGCACGAGGCTCCCAGCTGGGAACAACGACCACAAAATGTTTGTTGGAACAGAGGATGCCCTTTGTATAAAGTTATAACTGTCTGAAATGAACATCTGGGCAATGAAACTGGATCAAGAAGCAAAAGATCCCACAGAACAAAATGAGGTGAGTGCACAATTAGTGAAAAAGCCATGTGATGACTAGAGGCAATCAGTGACCTTTATATCACAGCTTCAAAGTAATTGAAAAAAATGTGTAAACAGAAATTATTTCATGCTCTCCAAAGTAGAGCAGAGAATTTTATTTTTGAGATTATGCTAAGATAAGCTAAGACTGGCTAGCCCTAGGTCTTGAAGCACAGCCTCTAAATCCTGACTTTTATAACTATTTATAAATTCCCCTTCCTATAATGGGCAA